ATGCGCCGGTGCTCGCGGAGGAAGGAGCTGCGGCTGAAGGCGCGCCCGCACTCCTGGCAGGCGAAGGGCTTCTCGCCCGTGTGCACCCGCTGGTGCTGGATGAGGTTGGAGCTCTGGCTGAAGGCCTGGCCGCACTCCCTGCAGGCGTAGGGGCTCTCCCCGTGGTGAGTCCGCCGGTGCCGGGCGGCGTTGGAACCGTGGACGAAGGCCTTCCCGCAGGCCCCGCACTCGTACAGCCGCTCCCCCGTGTGGATTCTCCGGTGCTTCTCGGCGTCCGACCTCTGGCTGAAGGTCCGGCCGCACTCGGGGCACTGGTAGGGCCTCTCTCCGGTGTGAACTCGCTGGTGCCGGATGAGGTTGAAGCTCTGGCTGAAGGCCTTGCCGCACTCCTTGCACACATAGGGCCGCTCCCCGCTGTGGACCCGCTGGTGGCGGACCACGTGCGAGCTGTGGATGAAGGCTTTCCCGCAGTCGCCACAGGCGTAGGGCTTCTCCCCGCAGTGGATGCTCTGGTGTTTGACGGCGTCGGAGTAGCACCGGAAGCTCCGCTCACAGGTGCTGCAGGGGTAAGGCCGCCTGGTCCCCGAGCCCGAGTTCAGGGCGATGCCCGACCCGGACACACCATCCTCCTGGCCGCCCTGCCCTCCGGTTTTCTCAGAAACAGCTGGTCCCCACGGGGCCTCCCTGGGACCCTCTCCAGTGTCCGCATTCCCACAGCGGCCGGAGAGGTCCCAGGCCCGGGGAGGCCCCAGGCACAGGCCGGGCGCCCTCTCTCTGCTGTGCTCCCCTTCTCCCGAAGCCGCCTGCCGGGGCGCCAGCCCTCTGCTCCGAGCCCCCTGCTCAGCAGCCTGGCCACCACCTGACACCGGTGGGGCGGGAGCTGGAAGAGAGGGGCAGGAGGCACCGCTTCAGACTGAGACACGCTAGTTACCTACGTACCTAGGAGAGCTCCAGGTGGCCCTGGTGGCTACGGCCACGCCAGGAGCAACAGGACAGTCAGAGGGTCCCTGACGCGCCCTGCGTGGCTCCCGCCAGCTCTCCCTCCCGTCTGGCTCCCCGGGATGGAGGAGGGACGGGGGGCGCGAGTCGGGCTCCTTCCCTGTGACCCCAGGAGCCGAGGGGACAGGCCCGGCACCGCTGTGCCCGCTTCGCCATCGGCCGGACACACCGGGCAGAGGTGCTGGGAGGCGCGGGACCCGGCCTGACACCCCCCGTGCTGGTGCCACTCGTCACTGTGACCCGGGACTCGAGAGAGCACCGCCCCTCACCGCCCAGGCCTGCTCCCACGTCAGCACCAGCGAGCAGCAGCCTGGGGGCTAGGGAGCCATTGTCCGGCCACAGTCCCCATGGCCAGTCAATGCGGTGCCCGTGGCTAGTTAACGAGGCCCCGTGGCTAGTTAATGCGGTGCCCATGGCTAGTTACCCAGGCCCCGCG